CCCCACAGCAACCCCACAGCCCATCCACCTGTGGGGCAGCTCTAAGCCCACCCCACAGCTGCCCCCAGCCCAGGAGCAGCCCTCCCCTTACCGGCAGAGGTGAGCCAGGAGGTACCGCAGGGTGGCATAGTTGGCAGGAGGCAGGCTCTGCACCAGCTCAGCCACCCGCTCCACCTGCTCCTGGGGGTCTGGCAGCTCTGCGGGGGAGCCACAGCGGTCAGACACGGTGTCCCCCCGCCCAGCATCCATAGCCTGGGGACGCCCATGGGGAGCACTGCAGCGGGGCACTTACTGGTAGCTTGAATGAAGGGGTCAAAGAGTCCGTAGGGCACTAGGGGCTCAGGCAGCTCCCGGAAGAAGAGCTTGAGGGCACCGGTCACCACGTGGATGTCACTCCACTCTGGGTCTGCCAGGCTGAGCCGCTCCTCTGGGAGAAACAGGGGAGGACAGTTTGCGCCTGGGCCCCCCAAGGCCCCAGCACCACCAGGGCCACCCCCTGCCTGGCCACCCCAGCTGACCTTGGCAGAGCTGCTCGGGGAAGACATAGCGCCCATCTGAGGTCACGGCTCGCTCTGTGGGGACAAAGAAGTGTTCATGGGAGAAGAAGCTGCCTTCCCCCATCCCTGGGCTCCAACACAGTTCCCCTGTCCCCTACCCAGCAACCCCATCCTGTGCCACCCCCAGTCCCCTCACCCCGGTCCACAGCAAAACGCAGCTTCTGGATCACAGACAGGTTCCCGTTGACCCGGTAGATCCCGTCAACGTCAAGGCCTGAGGACAATGAGGGGGGCAGGACATGGTGGGGGAAGTCCGTGCCAACTGCGGGGGGGTGCCGGCTGGGAGGACCCTGCCTCTCTCCTCGATGGCCTCCACGCAGAGCCGGACAAAGCGGGGCACAGTGGTGCTCTCCCGCTGGCACAGGGCGTCCAGGCGACACCCGAACACCTGGTCTGGGAGAGGGCAGCGCTGGGGCAAACTGGGATGGGGAAGCACTGGGACTCGGCAGGGGGCAAATGGGACTGGGGGCATGTACAGGGGCCAGGAGGGAATGCTGGGGATCGGGAGAGTGGTGGTGAGGGCAGGGAGGGACACTGGGACTGGGAGAGGACACTGGGACCAGGAAGGGATGCTGGACTGGAGGGAGACACTGGGACCAGTGGGTGCACAGGGACTGAGGGGGGATTCTGGGACTGGGTGGGGGAGAGGAGGACAGACACTGGGATCAGGAGGGGGACAGGGACCAGGAGGGGATGCTAGGACTTGGAAGGGGCACTGGG